ACATAGAAGCAAAACCTGAAACTCTAAGTCCCCTAAACCCCAAAACCCCCAAAACCCCAAACCCCTACCCCTACACCCCAAAACCCCAAACCCCTAAACCTCTAAACTCTACCCCTCTGCCCCTAAAAGAGGTCCATTGAAAGCCTCGAAGCGACTGAGGGCCCGGGCCTTCACCAGCTCTCGCATGTAGCGATGCCTCTCAGAGGCTGAGGGCTTTGGGATTCCATGGCTTTGGGGCTTCGGGGGCTTGGGGTTCAGGGTTTAGGGTTTGGGGTTCAGGGTTTAGGGTTCAGGGTTGAAGGTTTGGGGGCTTGGGGTTTAGGGCAGTTTAGGATCTGGCGTTTAGGGTTTAGGGCAGTGTAGGGTTTGGGGTTTAGGGGTTAGTGTTTGGGGTTTAGGGTTCAGGGTTGAGGGTTTGGCTTCCTACCCCCACGACCGTCCCTGCTCCCCGAGTCGCCAGGGGCCCCACAGCTGGAGGTCCGTGGGGAGGTTGTTGTGGTCAAGGAGCCCCTTCACCTGCTCTCAGAAGGGTTTGGGCTTGGGGTTTCGGAGGTCTTCGCCCGGTTTTCTACGTGCGCTGTGGGTTTCCCTACATAGATCTCCCAAGTAGAGCTTTGCTAGCCCGGGGGCTGTAGGGCCACAGTTCTGCCTGGCTTTTTTGGAGAGAAGTAGAGCTCCAGGGTTTAGGGTAATTTGCAGAATTACACCACTTGGGATGCCTATCGGCTGACTCCCGCCTAGACCAGGGCAGTGGGTTGGATCAGCTCCATCGGCCTTCCTTCGACTTGCTCCCAAACTGACGGTTGCCCGGGTGCAGAGCCTCACAAACCTACGGGGAACTTTCCCCGAAAGGTCCGGGCAACACCCTCCCAGAGAGCCCAATACTCCTTCAAAAAAGGAATATATGCCTTAAGCCATAATATATTGTAAGGTCCCTATAAGTTAAGGGGTATATACTCCTCTTAATTAAGGAGGGTATTGGGGCTTCTGGCGGGTTCTGGCCCGCCTGGCCGGCTGCCTGTCGAGTGTAGTCCTGCAGCCGGCGCAAGCCGTTGGACCTTGCCAGGGCTTCCAGAGAGCCTAAAGAGCCTTAAAGACTCCGTAATTCAGGACTGTATACCTTAAACTGTAAGGATCGCATAATTATTGTTGTGGTTTAAGGCATATTCCTCAATTAAGGGCTCGTGGCCTCTCTGGGAGGGGGTTTTGTGCGCATTCTGCTGCCATCTCCACCCCAGAAGGGCAGCCGGGCACGGATGCCCCTGGACCCTAAAACCAAAGCCCTAAGCTCCGGGCACGTCCGTGTCCATTGAAGCCGAAGCCTCGCTCAAGTTCAGATCTCATGCTTCAGACAAAAATGCCACATAAGGTAGAGGACGCTACAGTAAAGAAACAAAAAGAGCACCAGGCAGTCAACTTGCAGCACCATTTACTAAAGGTAGGGGACCACCTAACATTTGGTTTGATGGATGGGTCGAGGAACTGAAACAATTTCGGTTCAGCGAAATTCCTAGGACCCGTATCGTTAACCAGTCCTGATGATGAAGATTGCCATATACCTGCCTAAGCACATGTCTTTCTGCTTACGTCTCAGTAGCAGGAGCAGCAGCAGCAGCAGCAGCACCAGCAGCAGCAGCAGGAGCAGCCGAAGTAGCAGTAGCAGTAGCAGCAGTACAGCAGCAGCAGTGCTAGTGGCAATTATCGTACTGAGAAATACTGGTAGGAGCAGCAGCAGCAGCAGCAGCAGCAGCCGCAGTAGCGGTGCATAGTGGCTGTTGGAGACAAAAGATTGACACTACGTTCACTACGATAACGAAGTTTGGCACGGATGAGACCATCCTCATCATCCCACCTCGCAGGCTGCTCGTGGCAGTGGGCACGTTGAGTCGGCATCTCGCTGTTGGCTGTTGAAGCAGGGGGCTACATGCTATCACATCCGATGTATCTTTAGGAAATTCACAAAATTTGCAGGGTCTGAGAGATGAGCGAGCATAATCGGCCGCGTGGAGTCAAAGTTCAGTTTCAATAGTTGGGTTGTGTTGGCTTAGGGGTTTCAGGGTTTAGGATGTCTGCCAATTGCAGAGTTTGAGCTGAAGCACGTACGCTAGACATGCAATGACGGAACTGATGAACCTCGATCCAGCACCGGAGAAACTGAGTGTGTCCCTCAAAATTGAGCCGTCCGGCGAGCAGACAAGAACTGCGAATCTCTTTGCGACCAAAACGACCAAAAGCGCTCTCTAGAGCTCCTATCATGGAGCCTACGCCGCAGACTGTTATGGTTTAGGGCTTTACGGAGTGTCGGGCTTTGCAGTTAGGGCTTAGAGTTTAAGTTTAGGGCTTAGGGCTTAGGAATGAAAGACAAGTCTGCAAGAGTCGCTCCGCGGCGAAAACAGAACTTCAAGAACGCTTCTTCGTACTTGGAGGTTCATGGGTAGTTCTAAGTAGGGTTATAACTCCCCTGATATGGGTTATAACTATAGTTACCCTGCTTATAACCCCACTTATAACTACCCATGAACCCTCCAAGTAATCATCAACACAGCTACTGCAGCAGGGACAGCAGACAACATCATGTCTGTCACGATGGAACCAGGGAGCCCAATAAACCTTAACCACGACAAATATCCACCAAATCCCAGTCCGTAAAAAGTGAACCCTAAACCGGCAAGAACTCCAAACAAGAAGAGTCTCCAAGCACAGAGATTCCTAGATGCCCTCATTCTGCGATGATTCCATCGGGCTTCTACATTACCTGTATACTGCCATAACAACAAAACATGCAGAACCCGACATTAAACGCCCTGTCATGGTCCAGCCATTGTTCCGGTTCCATGTAAGCCCATGATATAAATCCTGCATGACCTTAAAAGCCTTAAACTATGGGAATTATGGTTCCTTATTGTGGGTAATGCAGGATTTCTATCATCAACCGTAGCACAACCTGCTGGATATGTGTTTCTAGGAGGCTCTCCCCGCTGGGACTCTTGAGGGTTTTCACGAAGAGACTTCTAGGAAGGAGTGTGCTCTAGGGTTTTTGCCTTTTGAAAAGACCGAAATTTCAAGCACTGTAGGCCGAAACCTTGAACAGAGTTAAAGGAGAGAAAAATCTATAAACCTCTAAGCCCTAAACCCTAAACTCCAAAGCCATTGAGCCTTAGAGAAAGGCACAGAGCCGTAGTTCTTCAGTACTCTGGGAAACCAAAACTGGCCGCTAGTGCCCTTGGATGTCCCGGTTTAGGGTTTGGGGGGCTTGGGTGTCCTTAGTTTTTATAGCCTCGCGCATGCGGGCGGTAGCGTGACTCTGGAAAATGGCGCTCGGCCCTGTTGCACTTGCACCCCGCAGGCCACTTCCAAGTGCTCACAGTACTGAAAACCCTGACCCCTACTCTCAACTCCTAAAGCCTGACTTGTTCTAGATTTTGGACCCAACCAAGACTGGATGTTTTTCTTTGGTGCGCTGCCCGGAGCTGCTGAGTCCCTGCCCCAGGCATAGAGAGAACAAGCCTGTTGAGGGGACCAACCAGGACTTGCCTCACCTAAAAACCCTAAACCCTAAGGGTGTCAAGCTTCGGCACTACGGGAGGCCCCTTTGTCAACGTATCTTCGGAGCAAGGGGACACTCCTGCCGCGCTTCTAGGAGCAAGGGGGAGTACATGTCACGGAATGCCACCGATGATCAAGCAAGTAACCCTAAACCCTATACCCTGAACCCTAAACCCCTAACCCCTAAATCCTAAAAGTGATGACCTCAAGATGCACTTTCGTGGGCCTGGAGCACGCCTTCAAAACTCTCTGGAGTCCGCAGATATGCAGTGGACCACAGACAACGAAGGAATGGAAGGCAATGAGATCGCCGGAGATTTCCCGGTTATTTCTGGGCTGGGGGTCTCAATCAAATCAGCGTTTTTGCGGGGTTCACTGATACGAGCACGGTACCTTGGAGCAATCAACTTAGGAAGGCTTAACTACTCTTCGAAACGTAGGAAACATCTGTAATTCCTGAGGTTCCTACATGGGTAGATCATACCTCACCCGCATGATAAGGACCCCCAAAAACAGGACCCTTGTTCATAAAGACTCTCTCACTTTGCAAGATCTGAGTCGAGGCTTGGAAAGTGCCTGAATGCCTCTGACCCTCTGACCCTACTACAGGAACCGCCTAAACCCCCCTAATAGAGACCCTAAACCCAAAACCCCCCCAAAACCCTGCAAAGATTGAGCCCCTAAGCCGTCAAGCCTGTCAAAGGTGTCTTGAATGTATTGAAAACTGCAAAGTCTGCGAGGGGCTTGGCACTCCCGACCAGCAAGTTTCATGGGGATGTTCGGAGCCGGCTTGGAGGGAGTAGTTAGGATCTTCAAGGGTTTTGCGTTTAGGGCCTTTAGGGGGTGTGGGGCACGGGGGGTTTTGGAGCTTTGCAGGCTTCCGGATTTCTCTCAGTGCCCTTCGCCCGACGCTTCTGCATTCGCAGGACGAGCGCAAGAACTTGCTTGATGCAAGAGCCGACGTGCATCGGCGTCTGTTGGGTCTTGGCATCTCCCACCGTCTCTATCGGTTTCTGAGGGAGAGCGGCAAGGGCTTCTGTGCTGAAAGGCCGAAATTTCGGCAAAAAGTGGCAGCCGTGATCCATGAGGATTCGTGTCGCGGCTTCGAAGAGTGGACGAAAGCTTTGCTGCTCCTGACACAGCCTCAAGCCGGTGTCAGGTTCTCTTTCAGAGCGTGCAGGGGCCCAGGTTTCGTGCCTCTGGGGAGCCTTGCTGAAAGCTCTCCGCCCTCATCTTCGAGGTATTTTGGCTTCTACTTCTACTTCTACATTCCAATCCAACAATCTCCGAACCGTACGAAAAGCTTCTAGTTTCGACTTATCCGGCTTGGATTCTTACCCTTTCCTTCTGGCCGCCCACCCTCCAGGTGTTGGACCAAAAGAGGGGATGACTCGGACAGGAGCTGCCATTAAAATCCCCGGCGCAGACTTCGCGCGCCGCAGTGAAACAGTGCGTCACAAGACACGTTGCACGTCACTCAGCTCCTCCACTGGGATGTCGTTCAGCGCATTCAGGAAGAGTCGGGCGTGGATCACCAGCTCTGCAGAGATATCGGCGTGCCCGGCGGTGATGTGCAGAAGCTGCGATTGGTTCAAACAGAGGAGGCTCCTTAGAGCGCGAGACGTGAACTCAAACCGAAACAATCAACTCCGCCTGAAGCCGAAAAGCCCTATAACTAAACCCAATCTGCGAATCGAATTCCCTGTAAGTTCCAGAGACCTGAAACGACCCCCGAATGAAAACTTCCCGCTTTTTGAGCCCAGTTGCGCGGAGGACCCGGCGACGGCCTGGCCAAGGTAACGCCAGTCCGTCCAGAGGCAGGGCTCACACAACCAGTGGCCTGGCGCAGGCAAAGCCGACTTCGTCGGATAAAGGGGGTTTAGGGTCCCTTTTAGGGCTCCTTAAAGGGATCCATAAGGGTTCCTACAAGGAATTTGAGTTCAGGGATTTTTTGGGGAGGAGCGTCAGAAGAGCCTGGTAACGGCAAAAGTCGACCCAACCACAGAACTAGGTCTGGGGCATTCAGCGGGCTCAGGGACACGGGGTTCGCAGCTACGGCTGAGCTGTTGCCCAAGCAGAGGTACTCCGATGACTAAGACCGGACGTAGCAAGAAGCTTCCTTTAATGGCGCCAGGAGGCCCCAACCCCACAGTTCCGAATAGTTCCAAGCGCAAGAAGCTGATACAGTCCCTACTCCTACTACTGCTCCTCCTCCTGCTGCTGCTACTGCTACTGCTACTGTTGCTACTACTACGACGATGACGACGACGGCTGCGACTGCATACGACTACGACTACGACAAATACTCCTACTGCCACCACCACTACTACTAATTAAGTACTACGACCACTCCTCCTCTTTTTTTGTAGTCTTATGGTTCGTTTTTTTCATTGTCAAAACGCAAGGGAGCCCGAGAGGGGCCTGGCTTGATTCGCAGGGTAAAGTCCTCCGTCTCCCGCTTGGAGGACACGACGGGCGTCGCCTGCGAGTTCCAGGACTGCCCATGGCGCAAGGTCCAGGTCTTCACCTCCGGAGGTTTGGGGAGTTTGGGGGGTTTTTAGGCCGTTTAGGAGTTTGGGGAGCTTGGAGAGTTTGGGGAGTTTGGGGAGTTTGGGTTTAGGGTTTCAGGTTTACGGAGTTTGGTGCTTAGGGTTTCGGAATCTAAATCCACAAAAACTGGTGGGTTGGGGGGGTTTCGGGCTTCCCGTTAAGGGCGTTGGGGGCCTGTTGGGGAGTTGGGGTCTTCGCCTCCAAGGGCTGTTCTGTCCACCTCCCCCCCGAAATTCCCCGAACCTTCCGGTCCGTTTAGGGTTTAGGGTTTAGG